CCTATTCTTATGGCCTTACATTCTCCCATTGAAAAAATAAAAACAACATTCAAATGTCAGATCACTTTCAAATAATTATAGTAGTGGCAGTTTTCTCTTTGGATCGCTTAATATTTCACATGACATTCAAAACATTCTGCCTTATTCCTCTGAAGAAAACAAACCAGGTGGTCTCCTTTACCTTTACGCAATGGCCTGTTTTCTTAGTAATTCAGACTGGCTGAGCAATGCCCGTCTCCATGCCAAGTGTCTCCTGAAGGGCCTTTAAAATGACAGCCCTGTCCCTCATTAAAAAATGGAACGTGGTATCTATTGTTCAGTGGGCAAGTGTGGATTTTGAGAGACCCTCATGGCCATGTGGCCGCTGTGAGAGGTCCCCATGGCACCTGGTATCTTATGAGAAGAAACAACTGACAGTTTGAAATGCATAAAATAAATCATCTGGGTATTTGCTCATTCATTTAAGATTTGCCTAAATGGATTTTCTGATTCCTGAAAGCGCGAATGGCAAGGCTCACTGAGCAGCAAGACTCCTTAAGGGTGTTCTCTGTTTCTGTGCCGCTCCTGAATTCCCACGTGGGGCGAGGGGAACAGGGCTTACTGGAGTGGGAACTCCTGAGCAAACGAGGGCGCGGTCTTTGGAAGCAGATAGCCCTCACGTCACTTAGTAGCCTTAGTCCTTACGTGATAATCTTACTAAGGAATTGACACTAAGCATCAAAAATGTCTGAAAAAAGTATGTCATATATACTCAGTGAATATTTGTGTGTGTGTGTGTGTTGATAATAGACATGTATGATTTACTTTATGCTATATAGCAACCTTAGCCAAAGTAGACCAGATGTTTATAAGGACCATGGACTTCTCATTCTTGGGTGACTCCCATTTAGCCCCAGAATAAGACCACCAAGTGAAATGTTTTGGAAAGACACAACTGTAGATCCTAAGTAGCCCATTTTCCTTAGTGGCCTACCCTACTGTATATTTGTCTGTAGATCTTTCATCCAAAGCAGAGTTTCTTTACATTTGAGTTATGTAAGCAATTGATAATATAAATAATGAATATGGGTGGAGTAAGACACTGGAGAAAGACCATGAACCTGAGAACTCCAAGGAAGAGCCTGAGGGCTGCAACTATCCTGGTCCCGTGAACTTAATGGCTGATTCTCAATTTCCTTCTACACGTGTAGGCACAATACTAACCACCTCATGAAGTTTTATGAGTTTTTTCCCTACAGTTCTATTTGACAACGTCCCAGTACAAGGCCTGACAGCAGAGGATCTGCAATGGTTGTTGGTTCCACTCTGACATCACTTCTGGCGAAATGAGTTCTTCACCCTTTCCTTATGTCTACACGTATAAGGCTTTCAGAAAAGGAAATGACAAAAATAGAGAGTAGAGAAAAATACAAAGAAGGGGTTATACTGTTGTCTCTCATCTTCCTGAAACTTCATCCCCTAGAATAATTAAATTCATGTCTTCTATTCTGAGGATGCGTTTTGTTTGCACTTCTCTCTCTGGTCTCCGATGCAAAAAGCCCCGAATGGGCACCCTTTCTTCCTAGAAAGTCAGGCGCACTGTGCCAAGCTCTGAAAACAGGCTGCGGGTGCCTGGCATTGGCGCGCTGCCCTTTCCACGGGAATTACCTTCTCTTTTAGATCCAGGATGTTAGAAACTCCTGGACAAGTCTGAAATAGATCTTTGACTATCTGCATTCCCTGACCCATTAACAAGACATGGTGCTACATATGTTCTGTTTTATGTGACATCCCATGTGTCAAGGGATGGCCTTTTGAGGGCCCCTCTGGCCCTCAAAAATTATTAGGACAGTTGTCATTATTTTTTCATTATTCATATTGGATTTTCATGTCTTACAAAGTCAATATAATCTTAAGTACTTTGAAATAAGTTTCCTATTTTTGTCTGATTATGTGTTTGTCCCTCTTCTCCCCAAGGAGGAAAATAAGCAGAAAATAAAAAATCTTGATCCATTTCAAATAAAAATTAAGAAAGTTCAAATTTTTTTAAACACAGGAAATTCTCCTTACGAAGAGAATTATGCAAGAATTTTCTAAGACAAACTTCAGGAATTCAGGCTGCATATTTTTAAAGCTTCCTTGTTCCTTACTTGTTTCAGTGTCTGAGATGGAAGTCTGAAGTAACTGATGATTTTTCCCCCTCCATAGCTGGGTAAGGCGGCAGCTTTCACCAGCCTCTCTCTCGGTTATAAACGCGTTTTAATGGACTGGCATGTGCTTAATAATACAGGCAGCACCTGGATTCTTTAGAGCCAAGTGCCTCTGGGGCCTGTGCTATATTAAAACTGCATTTTTGACCTGAGGCCTACTGGATCCTGTACTCAAAAACACCTCACCAATTTGAGAGTAACAGCCCAGTGCCAGCTCGAATTTTTCTTCTTTAAATAAGGAGAATTGAGGTTTAACTTTTATAACTCTGAACATGAAAAATATTATAATTCTAACTGATCAACTCACCTCCATTACTAGAAATCTAATAAATTTTATAAAAGTCCTTCGACTGCACAAATTCATCCTTAACTTTTATGACTCTATGGACTGAGACTCCTTGTAGCTATAGGTCTTGAGTCAGTATGGAAGGAAAATGAATTTGTTAAATAGCTTCTCAACACTCTGCTAAGTATTTAAGGCGCACTGTACTATCTCATGTAATTGCCATCACAGTCTTGCAATGAAAAAATTATTTATTTTTAATCTCATGTGATAGCAGCCTCAAAGATAATGCCCAATAACAGATTACAAAAGTCTGTGCTTTCTATCTCGGGAGTTCTCTCTTGCTCTCTCCTGGCAACCTGCTGGAGAAGCTCCTAAGGGTAAGCTTGAGGAGGAAACTAAAATATTGCACTCCAAAATACTCTTCTCTGGCATATTTCGGGATGGCTGTTCGGAGAGCCAGCAAGCAGCCCTGCAAAGCTGCCTGTCATGGGGGAAATCTGCATCTGCAGAGAAAACCTGCAGTGCTGCAGCCAGGCGCTCCCTGTGGCCTCCCTGCTCAGACCTAGGGAGGACTAGCTGAGCCTGACGCGTTTAAGGGCTGACGGGAGCATTTGCCACCTATTCTCTGTGGGGCTGCTACCTGTGAGGTCTCAGCTGCACAGCAAGGCCACCTTTGCTAGCCAGGCCTCCCTTCTCTCCCTCCCACCACCCACCTCGCCACTGTAACCGGATTTATCACCACAACTTATTTTTGGCCGTGCGTCGAGCTCCCATTCTTTCTGTAACCTCAAGATGGTATGAAAGCATCAACCATCTGGACCTTTCTTTCAGTTTTTATATTTTGTATGACTTCCGTCTTCCGTGTGCATGTGTCCGTGTGATAACATTTGTAAGCCTTTTTTCTTGTTATCAGTTTGTTTTACAAACTCAAAGTATCAAACTTTCATGGGGCAACTGGACACTTCCCTACATCTGCAAAGGGCTCTTCTGAGGCCTGCCACGGCACATCAGCCAGCCGGGGAGCAGCCTCCCCAGGCAGCCTCTCAGGGCAGCTCGGCCACGGTCACCCAGCCAAGTTGCCCCTGGATCCCTGACCTGTAGAAACTGAGACTTAATAAATGCTGTTTTCAATCACTAAATTTGGTGTGATTTGTTACGCAGCTGTGGATCGTGCATATGCTACAGTTTACATGAGACAAAATCAGGAAGTTTATCCAGGGCCACGGAAGAAGAATGAGAAAGATACTTTCCAATCCGCCTGTCTGATTCCCACACCGAGGCCCTGCTAGCATTCTCAGGGCCTCAATGGGCCTTTTTGTCCACTCGTGGGCATCCGAGTCTCTCTCATGTTCTGACTAGACCTTGACTAGTCAGACAGGTAAAAACAAGTCGGACAAGCCATATACTTTACTAGTTAATTCAGTTTTCTCTAATTTATCTGGGTAACAAAACTCACAGTCCAGTGGGGGAAGAAAGCCATCTAAATTAAAGAAAAGAGCCCTGCAGTGTCCCCCGCAGTGCATGCTGGCCCAGGTGCACAGTGGACAGGATTTGATGAGACGGTTTATTCCGGGAAATTTCCCACAGGATGTGTTGAACTATCAGCGTACCTCAGCCCCTAGGCCAGTGCCCGGCATGTGGTCTGACCTCAGTGAGTGAGTGTTACTAAGTCAACACACTGTTTCTTGAAGGAACAACAGCTGTCAATATGATAACAAATGGAGACGGAGGGAGAAGCTTTCACTGTTTCATATTGAAGTAACAGCAGCTCAGAAGGCAAGGAATTGCAGGCACGGCTTGATCACAGACCTGCCCCACTGCTACACCTGAAGATCTACGTCCCCCATTGCAGTGAAACTTACAGCTTCCCTGACTTCCGCCGTTTGAGGACCATTCAAAAGGTTTGCCATACTCAGCGCCGTGTGTGCTAGTACTTAATATGTTAAGAATAAATGATTTTTAAAACTCACTACTTTGTACTTGAAATACAATTTCGGGGCTATAAAAAATTCAATGATCATGTAGTTTAAGAGGAAAATATAGGTTTGGAAGTCAAACAAATTCCAGATGAAATTCTAGCCCTATCACTTAGGAACATGTGACTTGGGCAGTTATTTCTATGACTCTTCATTTCCTCATCTAAAAAGTAGAAAATAATGCCTTCCTTGAGTGCGCATGGCGGTATAACACATGCCAGGTCTGTAGAGGACCCACGAGAGTGTGCCCCAGATAGTCTATATCACGCTAAAAGCTGCTCGACAGGAATGCTCATTCCGCCTCTCCCATGAGACTGCTGAGAGAGAAGGAAATTAAGGGGCTTGCCCAAGTTTACTTTGCTAATTCTGAATTCACTGCTTTTTTTCCCAATAAGAAAAAGTGCTGGCTCTTCAGACATGGAGTGAATCCCTGCCCTGAATTTACTGCACATCCCTGGGAGCTGGATTCTGCGTGTTTGGGTCAGAACGTCAACCTTCGTTGGCTCGGGCGAGTGAGAAACCGAGCTGGGGAGTGTCGGCAGACGGTACCTGTGAGGATTTCCGCCAGGCGTTCTGTCATTTTCCCAATCACCAGCCTCAGGATTCCGCCCTCCAGGCTCAGCAGCAGGGTCCCCGAGCCCTCAGACAGCTCTGTGGACAGAAGCAGACCATCCTTGTTCCATGTTCGAAACTGGAAACTCACTGAGAGCCCATCAATTTGGGGGGTGCCAGGCAGCAACAAATAACTGCCGCCGGAGTTGACAAATGTGATGGGCACAATTTGCGGTTCGGAGCAGGAAAAAGTGACATTGCCCTGGAAAACAATAAAAATCAAACATATAAAAGCCATTTTTTATTCTGCAATCTGACAGCTGATATAAACAACCACCTGGAGATGACCTTAATTTCAGGATCATTCCACATTCGGCCGCAAGATCTTAAAGGAGAAACAATATGTCAGCTTTGCTCAGACGCGCTCAGCGGCGAGTGCTGCCCAGGGCCGCGTCAGGGAGCACGATGCTATCTGCAAAGAGGACTGTCTGAGACTCCCGGAAGGGTGGGGGTGGAGGCATTCACATTTGCTAGGAAGAGTAAAAATAATTAATTAGGTTCACTTGTTGAATAAATATCTATGGCAAGTAGACTATGTCCCGAGCTCCAGGATAACTTTTGGAGAAATACACATGGAAAAACGGTTACAATGTGCTGACAGAGAGGAATCAGCTCCCGTGGGAGCCTGGCAGAAGAAATCCCTGAACGAGCAAAGGTCACAGCAGGGAAGACGGTGGGAGGCAGAGGAGTGGGTGTGCCCGGTGAGCTCTGCAGCACAAGGCACCGTGTCTGCAAAGGCCTGGAGAAATTAGCAAAGTGGCATCTCTGAGGAAGCCCAGGGGACTTGTCACCTCTAAGGAGGTAGGGCCAGGGAGCATGAAGAAGGTGAAGCTAGAAAGGTGTGTGGAGGCAGAGGTTGAGAGCCCTCTTAGTAACAGCAAAGGGACGTGGACCATATTTTTTATTTAATTGCAGCATTTTTAGTGATATGGTGGGGGGGGTAGCTGAGAGGACAGACTTGAGAAATGGTGAGTGTGTATAGAAGAAGGGTGGGAAGATTATTCTGTGCATAAGTGAGGGGAAAATGGGCCAAGATTATTTGAGAAAGACCAGGATAAGCTTCTATATCAGGAAGGTATGGGGCATTAAGAAGTGCTTATATGTGCCCAACTGCACCCTGTGCTGGGGAACGCTTCGAACATACAGTAAGGAGAAAGCCTGGATTACCTCGCAGACTGCGAAGAGGTGTTCACACCCTATGTCCACCCCTACCCTTTGTCTCCTGTAGGCTCCAAACACTAATCTCCACCACGATGCAGTGAGCTTACACAGGTAAGTTCATCTAAATAGCCAGAGACATAACCAGTTCCCTGTAAATGTTTCCTGTCAAGGCCACTGAATAGCCCCTTGTGGCTCAGCCTTTCCAAGCTCCCTCAGCAGCCAGTGCCACTCACGCAAAAACGGCAGGGATTTTGCAAGAGGAACACCCAAGCTCCAATGGCTGCCCGAATGCAACTTTCCTTGGAGGCGGCCAGGTGGCAGAGATAGTAGATACATAGGCCAGTTCTCAGTCCCAGAGCAGGTGAATGGTTCAACTCCAAAAACCTCTTAAACCAAGAAAAACATCCTTACGTCTCAACCATGTTTGTTTTTGATAGTCTTGCATTTCTGAAAACAAATAACGGTCCCCAAACAAACTTCTACTAAGGGTACATTTCTAATGATTCACTCATCAATCACTCAGCTATGACTATATTTTTGCATGAATCATTTGTTATAGTTGTTTAGATGTTCTATTCTCTTTAGGCTAGCTTCCCCACAAGTTAATTAATGTGTCACAGGGTCAGGCCTTTGATCTCACCAAGAAATGGCCCACCATTTACACTGCCCCACCGTGCCAGGCAGTAAGCTAGGCCTCTACATACATACCTTGTGAATTCTTCACAACTATGCCATGATGTATTATTTTCATCATTTAAAGTGTTAAAATAAAAATATAGAGATGAATCTCTAAATTTAACATTTTATTTGGGAAGAATTGTAGTTCAGGGCATACACGCAGACCCGGTGGTCTTCAGTATGTCTGAAGGTTAGAGGTTTATAAAAGAGGAGAAATGTTATGTGCATACTGCTCTCTGAGAAAGTCCACGGGCACGAGGAAGGATGCGGGGACCCAGCAAGTTCTGACTGCTGAGCTACAGCAGTGCTGGGCGAATTAGTCCTAGAGCTGCGGCAGCTGTCTCAGAAGCCATAGGTAAAGCTGGTTTCCGGCTACGGCAGGCAGGTTCCGCAGTCAGCCTCTCAGAGAATTACATTCGTGGAGCAACGTTTTGTACCTTGAGTGCTTTTTTCCTCTGGCTTCTCAACTCTGTTTTAGTTGGGTGTGACAAGAATGACCCAATTTGCATGATCAACTTTCAAGAAAGCATGCACAAACTGGGCTTAAAGAGAATAAATAACGTGACAAAAGCCATATGCCTCGTTAGCAGTGACAAAATCACATTTGTTTGACTTGGAAGCTTTTGCTTTTAGCCACCATCTCTGACACCTCCCTTCCCTGCACTGAGTGCCACCATTTTTTAAAGTCTACCAACTTGTTCATGGTATCTCATCGTTGTTTTGACTTGCATTTTTGGATTTCTGATAAATTTCCTTTCAAGAATTCAAATATCTCCATTGATGGCTGACTAATTATAGCAGGGTTTTCTTCTTGAAGAAGCCAAATCACAAAAGCTCTACAGAGAAGTCAAGAGAGTGTAATAACTTTTCTTTCTCTTATAATTTGTTATCATCTCCTGTGATAATAAATTTGCTAGAGCACAGCTGTACCCAAAATTTGAGGTTGTGTAAAGAGGAAATGATTGGGAGGCAGTTACCAAGACAAAGACAAAAACAAAGGAGGTTGTACAGAATGCCCCCTCCCCTTTATGGATTTTAAACCCAAAGTTTATCTGCATCCACCCCTCTGCAGAGTACTGTCTGGAGCACAGCCTGGGAAGGTTGGACTCAGGACAGTGGGAGGACTCATTTGATCAGGCCAGCTGCCTGTCCTCAGCCTCCCTCTGCTCCACTGTTCAATGGGCCCAACCACCTGACAGCTATGGAGGGGAGCTCAGAAGCTACAGAGTCCCTGGACTGGACCTTGGAGCAAGGACTTTGATAAATGCTTTTGAGGCCTCTCACTGGGTAAGGTCAGGTCTTGCATGGTGTGGTCATCAGCACCTTGCTCAGCAGGGAGCAGCAAAGCTCTGAAACGTCCTGGGGTATGTGCTCTGTCCTGGCCGCCCTGCCAGGCCACGCTCCTCTCTCCCTGTCCCCATTCCCTTCACAGTTTCCCGTATTGTCCCTGCGTCGGTGCATCCCCAGCTACCTAAAACTTCTCTAGAGCCTGCCCTGCTGTGTTCCCCAATGGTGACTTTCAGGACAAGCAGGAAAAAAGATGTGAGTGGATGGGAAATTCTTTCTACCCCAAATCAGACCCCGCTCTCCAGGCGCTTGGTGCATTTGCAGCTCAGCTCTGCATCACACAGCCTCGGGGGCTGCTTCTGCTGCCATCAAGTCCCAGCTGTGCTCCTGCCAGCACAGACGCCGCCCCAGGGCCGTGGACCGGCAGTACCCACCCCTCCACCAAAGCTGGGAGAAAGGAGAAATAATGAGCTGCAAGTAAAAGTGCTACTTTTGAAGTTGACATGGACTACCTGGTCCTTTTCAGTAATGCCATTTGGGAATCTGGAATCGAAAGACAACATTTGAGGGAGTCCCTACTGATCATTAAGAAATGGCATGCAAGAAGGCAATTTACTTTAGAATTGCCTCAAAAGAGACATGGCAAACCAGCAGACCATATTCTATCCTATTTACCTCCTTAATCCATTTCTTCCAATTTCGTCCTTCTCACCTCCCGGGAGGAAGCTCCATTCCTCAGAAGCCCTCCAACGTTCAATTCATTCAAGATTTTAACATTTGTTAAAGATTTCTCAAGCATTTTGCAACAAGGTGCTAAGCACTGGGGTTTATAAATTATACAGTAAACGTGCCCCTGATCCTTTGCATTCTATAGTCATTAAATTTACATTCTGACTGCAATTGGTACAAAGAGTGCCCTGCGCCTGGCAAGGGAGAATGCACTGGGGTCACATCTTCAAGGTAGAGCAAATGGTCTTGGCCTCATGCTGAGACTGACAGGAAGTCAGTGAACTGCCACCGGTGCTTTGTTCCTTGCCGTATCTTGCAAGACCCAGAGTGCCCTTCACCATCCAAAGAGGAAGTCACTCTACAGTGAAGGAACTAAGTTCCTAATGTTCGCTGTGCCTTTTCTGGCCACACTGACGGAGCTCTGGTAGGACGGTGGCCTCCACCATCTGTCTGAGGCCACCATCCGGCTGTGGTACAGCCTCCCCAGGGCAGCAACAGCCTCAGACCACGGGAGCCCCGAGCCGGGTGGGGAGCACCCTCTGTTCCCAGGATGGCAGTTCCTAGTGCCCTGCGCCTGCCTCCTCATCCACACTCGTCCTCCTCCAACAGGCAAGGTGCTCAGAAGTGCTGGGCCGAAGACAGAGAAGCCATTTGTCCTGTGGGGGCCACCACCCAATGTCTACTTCTCTTCTGACAAGGGCTGTCTCCTGGACGTAGCTCTAGCCCGGCTCCTCTGAGCCCTCCCTCTGACAGGGCCTGACGCTGGGCTCTGTCCTGGGCCCACTTATTCCAGTTTTAGCAAGAACTCTGCTAAATCAGCACAGCAAAAATCCCCCATCCTTGGTCTGACCTCCTTTATCTTATCACAATGGTGAGGACCTGTCTTCAGCAAAACCCTCTTAGAGTAGTTTAGCAAATAAGTACTCTACCTCTAAGTAATTTTTCACCCCTGACCTCCACCCTACTTCTTGGCTATAAATCCCTACTTTTTTTTATATTCAAAGCTGAGCTCAATCTCTCTCCCCTACTACAAAGTCCCACTGTAGGAGCCCTTCTGACCTTCTTTAATGATTGTTGTGATAATTTTTCTTTCATTACGACTTCTCTGAAAACCCACCATAGTTTTATTTTTCTTTGCAGCCCTCAAAATACAGAAGCTCCCATTTCACTTCTTTTTTCAGTAGAAAAATAAAAAGAGTTTGACTTGTACTAGTGGAGGACAGAGCTTTGAAAGCCTAAAGACCGGTTTATAGGCCATTTGAGAAAGTGTCCACACCTATGTAAAAACACTTTGTTTAGTGCCACAAATAACAACAGCAGATACTGCCCTTTCCCTAGCGGAGCTTG